ATTAAATATTATAAAGCAAGATTTTTTGACTTATATATTTATTTAATCTTGTTATTACTTTAAAATATTATATCTTAAATATGAGTAAAAAAAAGTATTTAGTTTTGACTTTCAGTATTTTATTTATTTATTTATTTATTTATCAATTTACATCCGGGGGGCAAGTCATAAGGACTCGCTACAACCTTTCAGAGGATATTAGGGATAGACTAAGCTAACAATTCTATATATATACAATTGTTGACTTAGCTAAGCATTTCATTCTTTTATAATTATAATATTAGTAAAAAGCGAATAGTGTTATAAGCATTGTTTATCACTTCTGTTAGCAAGTTTAAACTATTCAGCTTACTTTATATTGAAGAGTTCAAAGATTATTTGAGATCTTGAAAAAGATAGGGTTGTAAACTAATAAAGATTAAAATGATTATAGACTATTATAAACAAACAATTATATTATTGAAAGAAAAAGGGATATATTATAATCGCTTGAGTGTAAGTAGAATTACTTTTTAAAAATGAAAAGGTAAGGTAGTAATAAAGCAAAGACTTCTTTTATTACGGTTAAAGGATTGAAAAAGAATTCTGACTTTCTTTTTTAATCATATATAAATAATGAGTTATAAATTCAAAGATGATTAAGCTTCGAAAAGATAGATGTTGATTAAAAAATAATTCAAAATAAAAGCAGGCATGAATCGCTTTATTATTGAGCTAGTCACTCCTTGTCGAGAATAATGGTCCTTTTGTTTTTAACTTTCAGTATATACTTTCAAGCTTTAATCATCATAAATTTTTTTTTTAAAATATATTATTATTTAAGTATAATATTAATTTTCTTTTAAAAATTTAAATGATATTATTTATGTTAATAAAAGCTTATACTTTCTTATTATAATAATTAATCATTATTCTCTATAATCTCTGATTTCATTTTTTTATTCCTTCTAAAAGTAAATAAAGCTATTGATTCTCTTAGTCTCTTATTAGTCATTCTTTCTCTTGAATTTTTCATTAATATATTAATCTATATCTTACCTAAAAAGTTATAATATTTTCTTCATTAATTAAGTCTTTTTATATAATATTTTACTATTGAATAGATTTTCTAAGATATACATACAGAATGTATCAATTAAAAAGAAGTTATATTTATTTATTTAATTCTTTTTTCTTTTTAAAAAAGAATATTATTCTATAAGTAATGTCATTTAGGATATGATTATTATTGTTAATGAATATTATATTAGAAATAATATTATATATAATAATAGTTTATTATAATATTACATATCATACGTTTTAATATTTATATAAAAAAGATAGGGAATAATTAATATAAATACTAGCTTATTATCTAAGATTTATATTACTCTACTTGATATTCTTCTGATTATTAATTGTAACATATTAAAAAGTATATTTAATGATTTAAAAATATTTGTATTATAAAGTATATTAAATAAAAACTTATATTTTGATTGAACTAGGGACCTGCGAGCCCCTGGACCCCTTTCTTTTCGAGAAAGTATTATTTAATAATTATTATTATTATAAATTTTTAAATATAATTTTGAATCGTAATTGTATTAGGAGCTTACAGGCGAAGTCGGTTTATCTCCTTTAACTTCTTCAACCCTTTTAATCTTTTTAATAATAATAATAATAATAATTTTCTAATTTAATCGAGTCGATTAATATTAAGATATAGATGCATATGCATGCGCACGTGTTTTTATACGGTATATATCGTATATTTATCATTAATAATATGAAGAAATGAATCTTTAATTTGTCTTAAAAACATTATATACAAGCTTTAATCCTTTATATAAGTCTTATACTTGAACTTAGAATCATTAAAATTATATCATTTAAAAGCTCTTTACTCTATACAGTTATTACTTCTTTAATTCTTTATTCAATTTAATTAAGATAGTTTTATTGAAAAAGACGATTTGTTGAAAAAGACGATTAGATATTACGCTATACTATAATACTAATACAGTCAAAATTCATTCTAATCAATCAGATCGCTTGAATTGAGTCTTATTAAACGAGATTTTTCATTTTTATATATATATAGTACTATGATCCTCGCGAACAGTAAGATTATTAAGGAGATAAACCTTTAATAATTTAATTTTCATTTTTCGATTATTTCTCTCAAAAAAACTAATTACTCATTAAAATTTTAAATTATCAATTTTGGTTTAATATTATAAAAAAGTCTTATTTTATATAAATCCGCTTCGTTAAGAATTAGTATTAGGAACTCTAATTTTAAATTTTAGAAAATTCTAGTATATATTAATTATTATTCTTTTATAAGCTTATAGTTTAATAATATAATTGTTAGTTTAAGTTTAAGTTCGAGAAGGATGTAGAAGACGTAGTACCTACGATATTCGTAAGTCCTAAATGTCTATATTATATTCTGTCTAAAGAGCTAGCTAAGTATAGGAAGTTGTAGACCTTATATAGACGCTACAAGAAGAGCTAGTCTCTTCTACTTATCGCTTAGGGCTACTATACTCCGCATTCGCTTACAACTATAATATAGTAGCTAATGAATTAAAGCTATTCACTATAATCTAATAATCAATGTTCATATAATAATAAATACATTTATGTTACGGGAGCTGCCTCTAGGGTCACGTGGAAGTGTCTAGAGATCTCTCGAGGTGGTTTAGACTAGACTTCAAGTAGGAATTCAATAAGGTTGTAACTGGTTGCAATTCTCGTAACTATAGTAATGAAACTAATGATTGTTCTTGAGCACGAAGCTCTACATTGTAATGAAACCCATTCCCTTATATAGATCTTCGTCCTACTTGGACAGCTGGGACAGCCGGGCGCTCCTGGAGCGCTGTCGTTCCTGAGCTGTCCATCACGGGACACTAATCCCGTGACTCTTGGTGTCCTAGCTTATTCTTTTGTCCTGGGGCTAATCCCCTGGGACATTACTAATCCTAGTGAAGCCTTCTTGCTTACTGTGTTCTGTCTTTCCTAGGACCTATTGTCCTGGGAACTATGTCCTATGTTTCTAGGGTATCCTATGACTAATACTATATACGTGCCTGAGGCTCTCCTGGGTGCCTAGCGTCCCCCGGTATACTGCAGCTGAATCACCGAGGCTTATAGTACCATTATAGCCTATACGTTGGTGATTCTACAGCCTGTTACTAATCCGTTGTAACAATTTAGAAACATATTTTTATAAGATTTTCAATTTTCTTTTATATAATTTTTATACAAATTTTAAGTTATCTATATCAAAATTAATCTAAGAATATTCTATATCTTTTATTATTTAGTTATTTAGTTATAAGCTTATATTAAAAAGATATTATAGAATTGTTTTCTTAATAATATAACGCTTTAGATCGTTATATATTTAATGAAAAGTAATACTATTTCTAGAAATCATATATATATTCTATTAATTAATTTTTGATCTTAATAGGAAAAGGCTTATATAATAGATTGTGTATTAGAAGCTAAGTCTTTTCTAAAGCATTTAATTAAAAGCTTAAATTGATATCTATTTGTAGAGATATTAATAAAACTAATTTATTAATATTAAAATCTATTAAGTAGACTTGATAAGGTGTATATATATAAGGTATAAGAGTAAAAAGGATTATTTTATTCTGTCTATTCTCTTTACATAAAGAGGAACTTATAAATTATATATATATGTATATTAATCTTACTTATATACGGAGTATATATGTAGGGTAAAGCGTGACATGTAATGTCACGCCCCTAGTCACGTGCTCCAGAAAAAATCTGATTTTTTTTAGTTTATAGATTAAGTCGAATACTCTACTTTCAAACCACCCCTGTTTTGAACCATTCTTTACCATTAAAAATCTCAAAAAATTGATTTTTTAACTTTCTTATTTATAAATAGAATTTATTGAAAATTTGTATCTATATAATTCAGATTGTTTTAAATCTAATCTGAAATATTTAGATTTTTAGGATTTCTCTATATTGAGATCTAAAGCTTTAAAATATCGAATTTTTAATTTATATAAAAATCACATACAAATTGAAAACTTTTATAAAATCTTTAATAACTTTTTAATAACAATCATTAAAAGAAAATCATATATATTTTTGAAAGTTTTGAACTTAAATTTATATAAAAATTAATAAAAAAATTAATAAAAATTAAAAAATATAGAAATATAATATACAATAAGTTTAAAGTAGTATAAATGAACCCTGTAATTTTGAGGGTATTCTTTTAATATCTATTTATAGGAAATTTTGTTTTTTTCTGAATTTTTGAGAATAAATATATTATAAATTTATAATAAATTCTTATAATTTGTTTTTAATACTTTTTATTAAAAAATTATTAAAGATTTTATAAAAGTTTCAAATTTGTATGTGATTCCTATATAAATTTAAAAATCGATATTTTGAAGCTCTAGATCTCAATACAGAAGATTCCTAAAAATCTGAAATTTTCAAGGTAAACTAAAAATGATCTAAATTATATATATATATAAGTTTTCAATAAATTCTATTCATAAATAAGAAAGTTAAAAATTCCATTTTTGGTGTAAAAAGTGGCCCAAAAGGGGGGTGGCCCGAAAGTAGGGTACCCGACTTATGTAGCTCCCTAGCAGACCTTTGCCACAAGGAATATCATGGAATTCACTTACTAAAACCCCTTGCGTTCTATGGATACTCCCCACAGTTTAATATTCATTCGTTGGGAGAGAGAGTACAAGCTTTTGACTGGCATCATAAGTGGTAGGCGCAATACGAGTACCAAATGAACCACTCGGCATGAGGCCCGTTGACCAGGGTCCCCGCCCCAAGCCCACTTTGACTTATCCAATCCCTCTCAATCTAGTCAATCAGAGGCTATGATTCCATATGCGTATGGCTCCCAACATATGCATGCTAGCTAATTCAGAGGGATGAGCTTATTAAATGATGCTTACACCCAAGTTGGCTGCACCAACATCATCTGCACCAAATTTCTTCGTGTACTCTCAAATAGCAAAAGAAGGTCTTTTCTCCGCACCTAGACTTTTCTGATCTATAGAAACACTTTATACTCATGTTTCTGCACTCTAACCTGCGAATACGACGTCAGGGCCGGAACTGGCTTCGTTTGGCTTTTATTCCCATCCTCATTATTCTATCAGTCGACTTTTTCCTAAATATTTCTCTCAATCCACCGTTGAAACGAGTTTCTTTATCCTCGGCCCCATCCGACACTGTCACTCGTAAAGATCGTATATTCATTGCGAGCATGCATTGGAACAATGAGCTCATTCTACGCTCCCATTGGAGTGCGGCCCTATTAGATCTAGTCGGATATTTCGGCGTAGACAATGTCTATATATCTATTGTAGAAAGTGGCAGTTGGGACAACACCAAGGGTGCTCTGATGGATTTGGACGTGGAATTGGGGAAGCTGGGGGTAGAGAGGAGCATTGAATTGTTGAATATTACACACAAAGACGAAGTGGAACGGATACCGAAACCAGACGAGGAGGGGTGGATACAAACGAGCAGGGCCAGAAAAGAACTACGTCGAATTCCGTATCTTGCAAAATTACGAAATAGAGTTATGGACAAGCTGAAAAAACTCGCGAACAGAACGGATGATCAGGAAGAACGATCGTTCGACAAGATACTGTGGCTGAACGACGTTATTTTCACGGTATCTTAGCCATTTGCTTCCTTCCAACCCGTTGTTCAGTCCTTCAATAAACTAATTCTCCTGACTCGGTTCATAGACCGAAGACGTCGTGACTCTGCTTGCAACAAGAGATGGCAACTACGCCGCTGCCTGTGCAATCGATTTTTCCAAACCTCCACTTTTTTACGACACCTTTGCTCTCCGCGACATCGAAGGCGAAAAACCAGTTACGCAAACCTGGCCCTTTTTTCTGGCTGCCGAATCACGGAACGCGATGAAGACAAGCACGTCAATACCGGTTAAATCATGCTGGAATGGAATAGTGGTCTTTCAAGCAGAACCATTTTATGAGAATCCATCCTTGCGTTTTCGGGGGGTTCGAGATAGTCTTGCGCAATATCATTTAGAAGGATCGGAATGCTGTCTTATTCACGCAGACAATGGTTTGAGTTTGACGAAAGGCGTCTGGCTTAATCCAAATGTAAGAGTTTCGTACAATGCTAAAGCTGATATTGTTGTGAATCCAAAAGGGGGGAAGTGGCCAAGCAAAGGAGAGATTCTAAAGGGGATATGGAGTAATAGGTGGGCTCGTTGGACGGGATTCCTACAGAGATCTCTCGAGCGTTCTTTAGTGGAGATAAGGGTGCAACGCTGGCGTAGTGAGACATTAGTTGTAGGACAAACAAAAGTTCATGAGAAGGGGGTTTACTGTCTGATAAATGAAATGCAGGTTCTTATGGAAAACGGTTGGGCTCACATATGATTGTTGCTATTTTGAATATACAAATTATTTTCTTGTTTTGAAAGCAGAGGACATGAAAAACAAACAAAAGATATTCCATTAATTTCACTTCAATATTTATTTTCCCTTATTTGGTGATTCGAATAGCCTGTTACTCATTATCACTCCCGAAGCTTCTGTTGAAAAAATTCCATCTCATTCTTCACTTTTTGCCACTTCTCTCTCATCTCCTTCGGCCCCGAACGATCCCATTTCTCATGTAAGCTCTTCACACCTGCCTCCCAATCCTTCAAGCTCGGCCACGTAGCACTCCACTCCCAACCCAATTCAAACCACGGCATTGACCCCTCCCTTCTAAACGCATAATTCAACAAACTCTGCTCCATCGTATGCGGATCAAACCTCCTCCAATGTCCCATCACACTCATTAGGTAGTCAAACATCTCCCTACTTGGTGCTGCAATCCAGAATCCAGCTGAGAAGCTGTCCGTCGGGGGTGGAGGGAAAGGATGGTTTCTTTCTCCGGAGAAGGCATTGTCGCTGCGGGCAGCAAAGGTGTAGTTACTGGGTATTGGCTTTTCGTCGGACTTAATCTCTTGGGTCCTATGTAGTAGTGAAGTCATAGGAGTTTGTATCATCACTTCGTCGAAAATCCCATCAAGTGGGTCGATAATCAGTGTATCAGCGTCTATGAACAAAATCCGCTCGTACTCTACCATCTCGAATATCCTCAATTTGGTGAACTGATCTTTCCATCGTGTTACTCCTGTCGATATCCAGAAGGAAAGGGGCACATCGGGTACAACTTTCACTATTGCACCGTCGAGTTCCAAACGTTTGAGTTTTGAAGTGGCGACATTTTGGGTGCAGAGGACCAGGAAGGGAATATCAGTTCTCTTCGACCGCGTTTGGGGATCGTGCAAGAGCTGATATGTCAGTGTTCTGGCGGCTTGAAAATAAAAGTCGTCTTCTGGGAGCGCGGAGGAATCTTCGCCACCGGATAGGAATGTGGCGATTGCGACTTTTGACGTGGGGTTGGTTCTTCCGAGGGGTGCGTAATTGGGAATTTGGGTGTAGTGAGGCTTGGAGAAGTTGGAAAGATAGATCAGCGTAAGAATGATGAGTGCGAATATGAGGAGAAGGAGGCGTCCATGAGGACTTATCCTACGCACGGTCATGACTGCTTGAAATATAAGGGGTTATAGCAAGTTCGAATCCAAAGATCACTGTCACAACAATTGATCAAAAATATCGAAGGTCACAACGTTCAGCGAACAGCTGCTCCGAGACTCTACTGGGCACAATATAGTAGCTTTAACGGTTATGGGAACACTGATGGAGCGACTATAAGATGACCGTAAATATATTTTCCAAGAAATGATCCTATTATCCCCTAGAATGCCATCAGAGGACGCCTGGGTGGTCCGTGTAATATACCTTGAATGAAGATGTTTGATTGGTTAGATTGTGATTTTAATGCTTTTTCAGTTACTTTCTTTATAGAATAAAATCTTGATTCTATTTCTTAATTTTTTAGGAATTCATAAGGGAAGGAAAGATTAGAAATCAATAAATGATATATTATTTACAATTTTGTAATAAAAATATTATCATTTGGATTTTATATTCTGGATTGATGGTGAATATTTAGTTGAATTTGAGGAATCCTAATGATCTGATTGGTCGCTAAGATCCCTGTTAAGCGAGGCGTCCTCTGATGACAGTCTAGGGGATATGATGCTTGAAGTGTTAGGCATTGTACTTCCTCTTCCTACGAATAGAGCTTACAAAGTGAATGAAACTCCAACAAATAATAACTTTCCATGTGTCAAAACTCGGTCAAGAAATTATGAGCCTAGGTTTAGTTAGTATTTAAAACCAGGAACATCAACCATGTAATACCGTCGTACATATTGTACGGTCGGCCCCTTAAATCTTTATTTATAAGAAGGGAGATCGACAATGTATAAGTGACATCTTCCCTATAGAAAGAAAATATAGGATCCTGAATACGAGCTTTTGGTTACATTCGAATGCAGGTGATAGGACTCACGTTTACTGATCTTTAATATTGAACTGAAAATTAACAGTATATTAGTTTACTACAAAAACATTGCTTATGATTCTATATAGCATCTTCATTGCTGAAGTTTGGTTTTAGAATGTCGCAAGTAATTGTTGTAGTCTGATAAAATACTCAAAATTATTTCGATTTAGTGAGGTACAAATAGCTAAGTAAAAGCTTATGCACCTGAGGTGATCGACTTGACATTGCCCTAAATGTCTTGGATAAAGCTTAGTTGGACACCGATCCACAAGCTACAGATGTCAGATTTTAGTATTAGCAAACTAGTCTTATCAACACCCCTGCAAACGGATATCGGCTCAAGCTTTTGATTTAATGTCTTAGAAAAGACTTAGCCTCTAGTAAACAATCTACTGTATAGACCTCTTCCTATAATGATTAAAGGGGTAAGTAATGTAAAATGTATCTAAATTTATTCCCACTCTAGACCTTTAAACAAATCAAATTACATTACTAATTGAAAATTTATATAATAAACTTTAGGTAGTAAAAGTATTATAAAAGTTATATTTTATTTATGTTTTGTTTAAAATCACTAATTTTTCATTATATTCTGATTCGAAATTCTATTTAAAGCTTATTTAGAATCTATAGAAAGCTTTAAATGCTTTAAATGTTATATATTATTAGATTTAATAAAAAGCAAGTAAAAGCTTCAAATATTTATCTTGAGGGGAATAGTTTATTATCTATTTAATTTATTTAAAAGTAGTAATAAATTTCATAAAAACAGTAAGATTTTAGTAAAAGTCGAATTCATATTACTTACTTATATAATCTCTATATTAAGATTAAAAATAAATTAATAGAATATATAGTAGTAGTAGTAGTAGTAAATTAATAATCGATTTAGTCTATTTATAACTAAGCTATACTAATTATATAATATAAATAAGAAAATAAAGAGAATCTATTTTCTTTTAAATGATTTAGATTAATTATTATAAAATCTTTATAATTCTTTGTTTTTTACATCTTTCTTTATTATTCCCTTCTATTTTTCTAATATATTGAATCTTATAGTTGATATATTAATATTTTATTAAAAGATTATTCTTACTTTTGAATTCTTAATCCTTTAATTTTTTAAATTCTATCTGTAATATTAACGATTTCAAATCTAATTCTATATTATAGAATATTCTATTTGTAATCTTTTTTTAATCGTTTAATCAAATTGAATTCTATTGAAAACCTATTATCTTTATTTTCATTTTGTTTTACTAATATTATTACTTTAATAAATAGATTCCGAAGTTTTATAATAAAGAAGACAAATCATTATATAATTAATCTTAATTTGTGTTTAATAGATTCATAATTTAAAACGAATTATA